TAATTTAAAAAATGACATTATAATAGGCAATGACTAAAGCATAGGACTAAAGAATACAAGGACATGTAACGCCCATATACAGGCTGCAGCAGAATTTGTTACGTTAAACGCCATTATATTGGAGCCTACGTATGAGTCACCACTGCGTCAACAGCGACAATTTTAGCGGTTTTTAATAATTTGTGTGTAGTGAACTTTGTATAAACTTTATTATAATGGTAATTAGTTGTTCAGCTTTCAAGTGTAAAAGCCGCAGCGATAAGAAAGAGCTAGGAGTTACGTTTCATAAGTAAATAAACAGCCCGTGCCACCTTTTTAGCGTTTTCTTATTGAATTTGGTAATTATTTTTTTTGATACTATATGTACTTGATATGTGCTAATCGTCGATACTAGTTTTGTACCTTTTGTTAACATTTTAATACGTTTTTTTCGTAATTAATTAGTATGATACCACCGATTACAGTTGAGGGTTGGAACCTTTGGTGTTACACAGCAAAATAAAAACACTAAATCACCACAATACACCAAAACGCTTTTACTTTTACACTGGACGCGCGTTTCGTTAACCAAGTTCTAGTTTATATTTATCTGCTGATGATGCTAACATGGTTAGCGAAAGGCGCGTCCAGTGTAAAAGTAAAAGTGTTTTGGTGTATTGTGGTGATTTAGTGTTTTTATTTTGATGATACCATCGTTTACACCATAGGCGTAGTCAAGGCATTTATCAAAAATATAAATATCCCTTCAAGCAGCTAAGTTAAGAAAAATATATGGCCACGGCACTGTTTGGAGCCATGGTGACAATTTGGTCTCGGGTGTTATATTATATGATCTAGTGTTATATTTATGTCCTTGGATTCTTTAGTCAGATAATTACATTTAATTTACTTCTATTGAGATATCCTTCGAAAACTCGGTATGTATGCAACAATTAAACACCATATAAAAAAATAAATAAGAGTTTGTACAAAACCTGAATTGTCCCACCATGATTATAAAACATTGTCTAAAATATGATACTGACAAAAAATCTGAAGATAGGAATGATAGGAATTTAATTGTACAAAATTCTTAAAAGCAAAACAAAATCAAACCGTAAAATCACAACAAAAGCGTCTCGTGTCAGTTAAAAATCAAACATAGATAAATGAAACAAGTTTAGATTGGAAAGTGCCCATAAGGACAATATACATCATAGAATAACTAACTGAAAGAAATGAAAACTCCTATGTTAAAGCCTGGAAACACGCGCTCGACGCGATCCAAGCGGGCTACTGGCAGAACTAAAAGTTCGCGCCATATTTTTAAATGGACCTTTACTGCCAGTTCATAAGTTTTTTACTTATATTTGGTAATTTCAATCTAGATTATAAACTTATTTGTAACAAAACATTTTACAAAATAAAAATAATGTATTTTGATACAAATAAATTAATAATCTAGGTTGAAATTGTCCCTGAAATTAGAATAAAACACGAAAAATTTGTAACTTGATTATTTTATTATAACATTGTTAATAAAATTACATATAACACATTCAACACTATACAAGTATATATAAAAGTTATCAGAATTTATACAATCAGTTATAAGTAATTATAAAAAAGGTTATAAATTATAAATAAATAATTCATTATATAAAAGACATATAGTTACCGTGAATATAATTTGGTATAACTTTAATCTCAACTTTAATGACCTATTCAAATAGAAACATCTTACAATTCACATTATATAATACACAAAGCCAAGGGACAAAATTGTTATTAAATCTATTCTCGATGACTCGAAGCATTTTTTTTTCAAATAAAACAGGACATATAGGGCTTATAAATAATACAAGGGTATAGAAAATATATAAATAAGTAAATACAAATATATTTTCAACCTAATGATTAATGATTATACTCGTTTAAATAAATAAATGATCTTTTTAAAATTACTTGTTTGTCTTTGCAAATTTGTATATTTAATATTTATCTAAAAGCGTACACTTACATAAATTACTGCACAACCTTTAAAATTAAGCTTTTAATATGTTATACAAATTCTTGATTCGATATAAATACACTTAAATAAAACTTTAAAATTAATGATCTTCCAAATTTCTGAGACAGCCATTTTGTTGAAAGAATTTGTTTTGATTATGAGAAATTTCATAAAAATTATCAGAGGGATTAATTAATCTTATACCTATATTAAAACTACTTGGCTTTTAAATTTCACAATCCTATCGTCCAAAATACTCTAAATTCGCAAAAATCCGTTAAATATTCCCATAAAAACAAATCACAATTCACTTCCACTTCACAGAAACTGACAGACATTGCCAAATATGGAATGACGTTTATTTTTCAATTTACTTTTATTAAATTATTTAATTATAATTGTTTCTGGCGAAAGCAACTTCATATCAATGTTTATTCATAGGGTAACAAAGCACATCACTGTTAAATTATCAACATTTTATATAAATATTTATATTTTTCAACTACTCCAATTACTCCACAGAGAATCAAACGAATTGTTAATTAAACTATACTCTGTGGATGACTTGATAAAATCATGATGAAATTAAAGTCCCTAGATGAATATCTAGGGACTTTAGATGAAATTTCTACGCAGCGCCATCTATCCCTCTACTGGCAGAAACTCCGCCGTGTTTCCAAAATTCAAATGGCAGTTTCATCCGCCTGATATACATACTATTTAGCGCTATTCTTGCAACGGTCGCGACCCAAAGCTTTTGATAATTTCGGAGCGGTTCGATTTTTTCCGGAATTATGTCGCCAAATATATTATTTATCCAAATTTATTATTTTTTTTTTAATTTTATAAATAAAATACAGTGTTTATTTTTAAACAGAGTCTTTATTAATCTTATAAGAAACTTTATTTTATATAAGGACATATTTGTATGAAATATCTATGGAATATTAGCTTAAGTTTTAACCATTTTTTAGTGGTTACTGGTGGTTAAATAAGAAAAAAATGCGGATTATGCACTGAGCTTCTAAATATTTTAATTTAATTTTGGTGCAATTTGACGTTAATGACGTGGACAATGTTGCCATTTCCACTGAATTTTCTGAAAAAGTTTTTTTCATGGAGAAAAACGAGAAACAAAAAAGAGTGAAACCAACGCAATCAAAACAGACTTACAGCGTAATTTGATTGCTAGAACTATAACTAGACATTAACCATAACTTAAGCCTAGTTCATGCACTTGCGAAATACGTTCTGACTGGTCGCATTCAAGGGAGACCCAAACAGAACGCAATTCGTAAATCGCAATTCGCAAGTGCATAAACTCGGCTTTAAGGTCGACCGACCGCCAAATCATGCCTTTTTTGAGTCCCTCCACAAAAAGGAATGTGGAATGAAAACTAAGCTTAAATTCCGGATAATTTACTAGCTGCTTTGGCAACCATGTAAGAATCCGCAACGTTTGTCAAAATTCAACCTTCACTACTGTCAGCAGAATGTGACCTACAGAAACGTAAAAACGCATAGTAATAAAATAATGATACAGACAACAGTTATAGACAAACCCACGACCCACGACTCTTTCATTATGAGTTATGGAATTTGGTATAGAAAATAAAATACAACACTTTTTAGAATATTGTTTATGGGAAACATGTTTTTCCACATCAGACTTGTTCTTCAAATATATCTAAGAAGTTCATTTTAAGGTAAAATAGGCTTTATTTTCTAAAATAAATTTGTGTCTGGAGAGTTCATTGAAACTAAAAAAAATTATTCTTATACATTATATTAGCACTGCCTCAAAGATACTAGAAATTTTTCTCAAATGACAGCAAGACCTGCATACCTTGTTTATCTTCTATTGTATAAATATTACCCAAAGAAATATTATAAGTATGGAATTTCTGACAAAAACTATTTATTAAGAATTACTATAATTAATTATTATCATATCATATTTACACATAAGACAGTTCTTGACATTGAATAAACAACAATGTTGCCATCATAAACTCACCTATGAAAAAGTAGCAGAGATATAGAGGTAGGGAGAATGAGCTTCGAGGAGTGCGCATCCATAAATTTTATTTTTATGTCTACAGGGGAGATCAATAAGTAATAATAACATCTGATAACTTCTCATTTATTTGAGTTTAATTTTGTCTCTTTGGTCTTATTGTTATTCAGAGTTTCTAAGTTTTACCAGATTAGTTTGGCGTGTGCTCTAATTTTTTGTACTTTTTGAACCTATGATTTCATGACTGAACTAAACGATTTTTGTGTTCTAAATGTTTTTAGTAGGTTTTTATGTATAATAATTTAATAATTAGTGGTTAGTTAGTTTAGTCAATATCATGGCTGGGCGTACCCTAAAATTTGAAGAGTAATGGTCGGTTAAAACTGGAAAATAATAGTTCCCCAAGCCTAACAACTATGACATTGATCGGGACAATCAAAATTAAGAGGGAAACAAAGTCAAGGACCGCTTTCAACGGCTATCGATAAAATAAGAAACGACCAACCTTAACGTGGAAAAGATTTCTGTAACGGCAGAGATAAGAGGAATTTAGAGATGATAAAGATGACTGAGAGATTGATCGCTATAAACACCGAAATTTGTTTGGAGATCAATCCATAGATGGCGCGTCGAATGTTCTCGAAGGCTTGAGCAACATCTTCTGAGGTTGGAACAAGAAGTTTTCAATTATTAATAAATGGCGGAGACGGAAGAAATCGGGTAAAGGTGGTCTTATTTATTTTATTTATTTAACACAACTAGTGGCACAAACAGTCAAAATATCCACAAGAGTATCCTTTCAATAATACTATAAGACAGTGGAAATCGGACATAGTTCTGATCTAATTAAGTAGTTTATAGTGTTTTTATCTTGTGTATAATATTAACCGTCCACGGAATCCATAAGAATATTGTTTTTTTGCTTAATTTTTTATTTATTTTGAGTAACTTTCTTGTAATATCATAAATACATATTTTTTTGATATTTTACAGAAGTATTACCGAGTCAATAAGATCAAGATATAACATTGCCCCAGAATTTGCAGAGAGAATGCAGCAAAATGTTTTGAGAGTTCACGAATACTACTGTAGAGTTACAGATGTAAGTTTTTTGTTTATTGTACAGTGTTACAGATATAGTCCGCATCATATGGGCATCTATTATCTACTGCTTTAGCTGAAATTTGACTATGGTTGACTTAAATTCCGGTTTATCAGTGCCATTCTAATTTTATTTAAAACGTGCATAAATTTAATGTAAGGTAGACTCAATAATTTGTTGGTTTTGTTTTACGTTGCCAATAAATGATATTACTTATTAATATTGTTAAAAAATATATATATTTATAATATACAGAGTCCGGCAATAGTGCGTCGGGCATCTAGCTCCTACAATAAAAAACTTGAGAACTTTGCTTAAGTGCAAACCTAAAGTATATGTTCTAGGATGTATTTCAGGAAAATATTTTAACTTCTATAGGGTGGCTGAAAAAATGTGAGTGGATCGGGATGATTTTTTTTAAATGTAACACCCTGTATATTATGCATTTTTCGCTTCCTTTCAGATCACTTTACATAATCCTAAGATATGAGTAAATACATTTCGATAGTTTCAGAGATATTAATAAATAAATAAGAAATATATGTTTTTCAGCCTTTATTAGAAAAATTATTAAAAATATAAGAAATGTCTTGAAATCATAACTACATTAGGCATTTACTTTAGATAGTCTATACTTACTTTGCTGTAAATATCGTAATCAAAATACAGGGTGTTCAAAATGCGACGCCAAATTTTCAAAAATCTTTGTTTTTTTTTAAACGGAACACTCTGTATATATGTAATTTTTTATTAGATGAAACGAACAATTTTTGTATTTAAAGTTTACAGTATTTTAACATTTTTAATGGTTTCGCCGATACACGCAGTATTATTTCATATGGCTTTTTCGACGGTAAAATACCAGAGAAAAATGGGCTCTTTCACAAAAAATAAAATACCCAATTCAAGGACAAAATCTGAAATAGAAGACTATTTTCAGTATATTTATCCAAAAAAAATAGTTCCATGACATTGAATAATTTGTTTATAGGTCCTCAAAATTGCTTTAATTTGAAATAAATTTAAAGTGCCAATTGATGACGTATGAAAAATACGCCCAATGACATTGCAGAACCGTGCTCGTGCGCCAGCCAACAACTGGCAACATTGCGATTTGATTTGACCAGCACCACCTCAACTCAAGGCCAATCAACATGATATGGGCAAGGCAAATATGGCGGCGAAGGCAGCGCATTATTAAATTGTTTACCTTTAACCTGAAAAGCCGGTAGTGGTTTCTCGTTCCCATTGCATACCAGAAATAATTAATTATCTCTAGTTTGTTGTGCTTCTGCAACACGTTTGTTTAGTTCTTAATGTTCAGTGCATGGTGTGATCAGAAAATTGTGATAAAATAACAGTGTAATAAAAATCCAAACCAGACATTCCACATAGGGAACTTCAAACTTTTGTGCTTGTCGTACTCCTCTATTATTAATTATTTTAAGGTAAGAACTAGAAGTATTTATCAAGATATTACACCTAAATGAGTAAAAAGCCTTCACCGCCAGTCTGCATAGTACTTTATAATGGTAACTTACAATAATCAAAAGATAGGTATTAACATTTTATTGTAGCATACCTTTTACATGCTCTGGTTCCAAATTGTCACGAGAATTATAGAGGGGGTCCCAAGGTTTCTCCTTTTATATTGCCCAAAAATGACGAGCTTCGTAAATAATGGTTGACAGCTATTAAAAGAGATAATTTCACTCCTACTAGTAGTTCTCGGGTAAGAAGTGCATTAAATAAAAAGGCCAAAGGCCAAAGTCTCTGTTACCCTAGTGAGGATGTAGTTATGGCTACACTGCTTACACTTACCTCACTATAAGTAAAATATTGGAAGAATAATCAAGCTTTTTACATCATAAAGATCACAGAAAGATATTGAACATTCACATTTGAAAATATAAATGGCCTGCCTGGATGTAAGTCTTTTTTTAAGTCACAATTGCCCCTCACATGCCGTCAGAATTTATTATTAAATCCATCTTGTTCAGAATATCCAATATTTTATTGAAGAACTATGCAAAAAAAAGGAATGACGTTATAAAAAGGTATTTCGTTTTTTTCTATATAAAATCTTGAAACACATATTATATTTTTTAGTTATCCTCACCTATTATAGTTTAAATTTATTCCCATTTGTGTAATGCTGCTAAACATAGGAAAAATATTCCATATTTTTTGACCCAAGCCAGTGTAGTTTATAATTCCAAGAGCATTTACCAAGGCTTTTACTAAGACAAGTAACTTCCTATACTGTCCATCATAGTATATATTTATCAAACGTGTAGTAAATTCTAAACTATAGTAGGTAAGTGTTTGCAATTGAATATTTAGTTTATATTGCTATTTTCTGTCATATATTTCTGGTTATTTCTTTTTGCGATGATTTTGCACACCCTATATATGCTACCTCAAGTTTGAATATTTACACACTAGTACACTACCTACCTATTTTCTGAGAAAACAGACCTTTTTATAAAAAGTAACTAACTGATGATTTCATAAAAGTAATAATACAAAAAATTCCATACTTATGTGGAGAGCTTTAGACTCCCTGTATATTAAAAAATTAGTGAAATATTACGTAATCTAACCCGACATTTGTGAAAAATGTCGTATTTGGAAATAAAACAGGTTTTAAAATACGCGACAAATAAAGCACTTCTATCTCCGCCATATTGGAAAAGGTTGAATGGCCTTGTGTGGAGGTGGTGGTGGGTCAGCATGGTGGCCCGGCCGTGTTGCCGCTTTTCAACATGCCAGGGGTGTGACGTATTAAAAATAAAGTGCGGCTTTTTATTCTGGGCTTTTTTGTTTTTATTTATTTTCTTAAGAACGACTTCAAAGTTTTCGAAAGTGAGATAGCAGAAAATTCTAGAATTGATTGCTTTATTCAATTATGCTAATTCCAAAATATAGTAAAGAGCCCATTATTGGGCGGCTTTGATAAAAATTTACTATGGAAAATGCCATATGAAATATAAAACCGCGAATATCTGCGAAACCGTTAAAAATTTTGAAATACTCTAGATACAAAAAATGTTCTTTTTTTAATTCTCCATCTGTTGAAAAAGTAATATACAGGGTGTGTCATTTAAAAAAAGAAAGAAAAATTATTTTATATTTTAGAAAGTTTGGCGTAGAATTTTGAACATCCTGGATAATATAAGATTACGATATTTATACCAAAGTATGTACAGACTATCTAAAGTAAATACCTACTATAGTTTTGATTTCATGACATTTCTTGTATTTTTAATAATTTTTTTTTAAGAAAGGCCGCCGAAAGATATTTATTTTTTATTTATTTATTAATATCTTTGAAACTATCGAAATATATTTATTCATATCTTAGGATTATGTAAAGTGATCTGAAACGAAGCCAAAAATGTAATAATATACCGGGTCTTCCATTAAAAAAAATCATCCCAATCCATTAACACTTCATTTAGCCCATTTATTCTTCATCAAGTCTTCATACAGACCTTAGGTCTACACTTAAACAAAATTATTAAGTTTTTATTCTAGGAGCTACAGATGCCCGACGCACTATTGCCGGACCATCTATAAGTATAGAAATAGATAAGCTATAATAATTATACAGGATGTCCCAGAAATAAGTGCAAATATTTTTACTGGTAGTATAATTCGACCTCAGAAACACGCCCATGAGGTTTTTTGCGAAATAAAAAAGAAATCGAACCGATAATCCCATATGATGCGGGCCAATATTATACCATCCTGGACATTTCATCTGTGTGGTCTGTATTTTAATGCATGCGACAGAGATAAATATAAATGAAGGGATGACAGATTGCCGGTTTCTATGTGTGTTATTATTAATTAAAATTAACTATTTAAAAACTTTCATGTATATTACTGAAATGAAGATAATATACACACACCGGAAAAGTCTAGGGATATTAAAATTTTATCCAGCCATCGTCAGTAATTTAATTATTTGCATTTCTGATATAATAAAATTAAGGACGTATTGGAAATAAAAATGCGAAATTTACCGAATTTTTCAAATTTACCTTGATTTTTATTGAACTCAAAAAAATACACACATTTTTTTTATTCTAAATTGTGAATTAAAAAAAAGATAAACCCATTTTTACTTAATAAAGGGTATGGCCTCCTCTACTGTTCATTACAGCCCTACATCGCCTCTCCATGCTCCTGATCAGGTTGTCGATCTCTTCTTGAGGTACAGCCTGCCACACTGCATTCACGGCCCGAACCAGATCCCTACGAGTTTCACGAGGCATACCCATTCTCAAAATTCTTCTTTGGACCGCGTCCCATACGTGCTCGATGGGGTTGAGGTCAGGAGATTGTGCCGGCCAGGGTAAGATGTTTAATTGATGAGCATTGATAAACTCACTTACCACTCTGGCTGTATGATGCCGTGCATTGTCATGCATGAGAATGAAGTTTCTCCCAAAATCATTGGCATATGGTAACACGACAGGCTCAAGAATTAAATCACGATATGTGATTCCTGTTAGAAACCTTTCAAGAAAAACGAGATCGGTTTTTCGGCCTAACTGGACTCCGCCTCAGACCATAACTGTTCCACCTTGATAAGGGTGCACTTCCTGAACATGGTCCAACCGAATAAGATTTCCCGGTTCTCTCCATACCCTAAGCCTTCTCGAATCAGGATGAATTCCAAAGCGTGACTCATCCGTGAAGTGAACATTGACCTATTGTTCATTTGACCACTGAACATGATCTTGAGCCCACAAATATCGTACCTCTCGATTTCCTCTCGTTAAGGGTTGAGCTCTCCAGGGGCGTCTGCTTCTTAAGTTGACCTCTCTTAATCTATTGCGAACAGTGTCAGGACTAACGGTTACATTATGTGTTTCCTGGAGAATTAAACTAAGTTCTGGTGCTGTAAGAGTCGGTCGGCGTCGGGCATTTAATTGTAAAAATTATCTTGCTGAGGGGTAGTAATGCGATGTCGCCCTGTGTGCCTTTCAGCA